AGTAGAGACGGGGTTTCACCATGTTAGCCAGGATGGTCTTGATCTCCTGACCTCGTGATCCGCCCGTCTCGGCCTCCCAAAGTGCTGGGATTACAAGCGTGAGCCACCGCGCCCGGCCTTTATGTCTTCTTTTAGGAGACAGAGTCTCTGTTGCCCAGGCTGGAGTGCAGTGGCATCATCTCACTGCAATTTCCACCTCCCAGGTTCAAGCAATTCTCGTGCCTCAGCTTCCCAAGTCGCCGGGCTACAGGCGCCTGCCACCACGCCCTGCTAATTTTTTGTATTTTTAGTAGAGACAGGTTTCACCGTGTTAGGATGGTCTCCATCTCTTGACTCATGATCCACCCGCCTCGGCCTTCCAAAGTGCTGGGATTACAGGCATAAGCCACCGCGCCTGGCTCATTTCATTTTTAAAAACTTAACACTACTACATAATTTGGTAAAAAACAAAACAAAACAAAACAAAAAAAACCCAAGACAAGTAATTGCAGCTACTTGAACGGTTGAGGCGGGAGAATGGCTTGAACCTGGGAGGCAGAGGTTGTGGTGAGCAAAGATTGTACCACTGCACTCCAACCTGGGTGACATAGTGAGACTCTGTTTTGAAAAAAGAGTATATATATATACACACACACACACACACACACACACACACATATATGTGGTATTTATACATATATGTGTGTGTATATATATATGATAGCTAACATTAGCTGAGTGCCTTCTCTCCAGGGTGAGCACTATGTGATTGAATAGCTAACAGGAGCATTTTCTAGGTGCTGGCTACTGTTGAAGGTGCTTTTCATGTATTAATTGATTTAATCTTTCAACAACCTTATGAGATAGGTACTGTTCTCATCTTGCAGATGAGAAAGCTAAGGCATAGAAGGGGTTAATAACCAAGGTTGCTCAGTGGTAAGTGGCAAAGCCAGGATTCAGACACAGTCCACCTCCAGACTCTTTAAAACTTGATCCTTTATAGCCTTTGCTACTTTGTTAATTCTAAGCATTTAATACACATTATTCCAATTAATTCTGGTGATACCCACTGTGGTATGGGGAATGGGTAGTACCAAATGATGTATGGCACTTAAGTGCCTAGTATGCTATGTGTTGAATTTAACAAAACTGAGTCACAGCAGAGGATAAATAGCTTGATGTAGCTGTAGCGGCTAGGGAGAAGACTTCAGATTCAAACCCAATAATGCTACACTAGAATGGTTGGGTGCGGTGGCTTGTGCTCGTAATTCCAGCACTTTGGGAGGCCGAGGTGGGCAGATCTCTTGAGGAGATCGAGACAGCCTGGGCAATATGGCAAAACCCCGTCTGTACAAAAAATACAAAAAGCTACTCGAGGGGCTGAGGTGGGGAGGTTAAGGCTGTGGTGAGCCGAGATTGTGCCACCACACTGCAATCTGGGTGACAGAATGAGACCCTGTCTTTAAAAAAAAAAAAATCATACACTAGACTTGATTACCAACCCTTAAGCTTAACAGCTACCAGCTGTCTTAGTAATCAAACTTATTTTCGAGGTTTAATTCTCCATAAATTAGTCTGATAATGTCTTTTAAAAGTTGTGTCCCGTATTGATTTTGAGAGGAATTAAAATTTAAAGTTTTAAATGGCATGGAATAATGATCTCAACTTTTGATCATCTTCCCATCTGTAAAGTAGTAGGTACTTCAACTATATGTATATTTACGTTTATGCACCTGTTACTGCCTTTGGTATACTAAAGCTTACTTTTTGTCAAACTTAGATACTGCAATTATGCCTAAAAGTTATTTCTTATATTGTCTAAGTGGATTATCAATTTCATACTCTGCTCACGCACAGCTAGATAATATGCTTTGCACATCATAACCTTGGGAGCACAGATTTTTCTGTATTACCAATGAGAAACCTTGACTCAAGAGATGAAGAAATCGTTCCAAGGCCATGGGGCTAATATATTGTAGAGTAAGGAATCTGTTCAAAGGCTATGACTTTCCCATTATTCTCCAATGCTATTTTCCTAAGACCCAAACAAATTAGTTTTGATATATGAGGTAATAGTTCACAAAGCTTGGTTCATCCTTGCAATTGCCATGTAAACTTAAAATTTCAGGGCCTTATCCAAACCTACTAAATCAGAAGGATAAGATAATTTTTGAACCACAGAAGCAGTCCTACTGTGATGCCTGCCTAGCAGAATTGCTAAAGAAATAATTTTTTTTCTTTTTTTTTGAGACAGAACCTTAGTCTGTCTATCCGGCTGAAGTGCAGTTGTGTGATTGTAGCTCACTGCAGCCTCGAACTCCTGGGCTCAAGCAATCCTCCCACTTCAGCCTCCAGAGTAGCTGGAAGTACAGGCCTGTGTCAATGGTGGGTAATTTTTTTTTTTTTTTTTTTTGACAAGGTCTTCCTCTAGTGCTCAAGCTGGAGCACAGTGGTGCTATCACTGCAGCCTTGACCTCCCAGGTTCAATTGATCCTCCCACCTCAGCCTCCCGAGTAACTGGGACTACACATGCATGTCACCATGCCCGGCTAATTTTTTTTTTTTTTTTTTTTAGACAGAGTCTCACTCTGTCGCCTGGGCTGGAGTGCAGTGGTGTGATCTCGGCTCACTGCAACATCTGCCTCCCAGGTTCAAGTGATTCTACTGCCTCAGCCTCCTGAGTAGCTGGGATTATAGACACCTGCCACTGCGCCCAGCTGATTTTTGTATTTTTAGTAGAGATGGGTTTCCACCATGTTGGCCAGACTGGTCTTGAACTCCTGACCTCAGGTGATCTACCTTCCTTGGCCTCCCAAAGTGCTGGGATTACTGGTGTGAGCAACTGCACCCGGCCAATTTTTGTATTTTTTGTAGAGACCAGGTTTCACTATATTGCCCAGACTGGTCTCAAACTCCTGGGGTCAAGTGATCCTCCCACCTTGGCCTTCCAAAGTGCTGGAATCACAGGT